AGGGGGGCGGGCACCTTCCCAGCCACCGACACCGGCCCTGAGAGCCCTTTGGGGTCCCCGGTCCCCCCAGAGGCCGAACCCAGGCTGCTGCGTAGTTTTCCATCCCTGTGCACACACACCCCCCCCTTCCAGGGCAATTAGTAAAGAGGCTTTAATTTTTTTTTTTCATTTCCATTTGCTCCGAGTACTCTGTGAGTGGCCATGACTCACTAACGAGGACTTTAAATTGGGTCAGTTCATTTTGGCAAGCTGGGGCAAGTGGGGGTGAGAGCAGGTTCCCCCCGCCGGGGGCGAGCAAACGGGGTGCACCCCCTGTGCTTCGGTCCCCCGGGGCTGGAGAGGTCCCTATCAGCTCCGGTGGGATTTGAGCCCATGCATGAGCTGAGTTGCGCAGGTCTCAGTTCCTCTCCCCCCGGCCAAGTAAGAGCCGGTTGTTTTAATGGGATTTCACCGTGCGAGCAGCGGGTTTACCCTCCCTGACCCTGTGGGTTTGAGCGGCTTTGGCCCCGCCGGTGAGGGATAATCCCTCCCGGGAGCCCAAACCGCCGCAGGGATCTCCCCGGCACGAGCCGCGGTTGGGTTTGGCTCCTCCACACCGCAGAGCTCACCCAGCCTCTGCCCGCGGCATTTCCCTTCTGCGCACCGGTGCCGGGGGTTTGTCCTCCCCTTGAAAGGGGGACGCGGAGGTCCCCCTGAGGATCCAACCCCACGGGTGCTGCGGCACAGCTGAGCCAGGCTGCCCGGTGGCTTATCCCGTATCCCGCCGGTACCTGGGGATTCTCACCGAGCAGCGTGGGGACGGGAGCCCGAGCGCGGTGGCGAGGGGGTGACCGCATGCCTTGCAGGTGCTTGCGGGACGCCGGCGACTGCTGCGCGCTGAGGCCGGTGCAGAGACATGAGTGGCAGCGCGGTGAGTGCCGGTGCATCACCCTGGGGACAGCAGGGATGTCCCTGGGGATACCGGGCATCCTGCTGGGGATGCTGCTGGGAGCGGGGCCGGACGGGGACA